GACCATGACCTGAGCTGAAGGCAGATGCTTAACGACTGAGCCACCCAGGTGCCCCTCTGCACGTTTTTATATATGAATTTGGCTCAGTTTCATTTCAAGTGAAATTCAAAACTAGAATCCTCTAGTTCAGGGGTCAACAATTTTTTTCTGAAAGGGACCTGATAGCAAGGATTTTAGGCTTTGCAGGCCACACATTGTCTACCATCAGTAAAAAGCAGCCGTAGATGCAAACATTAACAAACAAGGCTGTGTTCCAATAAACTTTTCCCTGTGGACACTGAGATTTGAATTCTCATGATTTTTTTTTCCATGTGTCACAAAATTATTCTTTTGATTTTCCTGTTTTTTAACCATTAAAAAAAAAACCCATAAAAACCATTCTTAGCTGGTAGGTATTACAGAGCTGGAGGCAGGTTGGATTGGGGCCTCCCCCGCCTTAGTTTGTAACCCCTGCTTCATTTGAGAACAAGGTAGATTTACATACAAGGCTGATTTTAAAAATAGAGGCTTTATTGAATTTAATGTAATTAATCCTTATTGGTGGCTGCTTTTGAGATTTGAGACTAAGTGCCTGATTATCTAATTTTCCCTTCATTGACAAGGGCTAAAGCAGAATGGTGAGGTCATAAGGACATGCATTGATGTGCTGTAGTTTTATTCATGATGTAATGGATTTCAGTTTCTTGTAAGAGTTTAAGCAGAGAACTAGCTTTTCAAAACCTACCTTAGTGTTTTGCAAAATTTGTATCTAAATCCTCTCTTGCTGTGAGACTAAATGCTTTTGTTCCAAAGATCTATAATCCCTTCATGAGATAAGAAGTCACTGTCTACAATAGGTTGTTCTTTGGATGAAATTTTTTCTTGAAATTTTACTTCTATTTTATAAGGCAATTTGTCTATAGTTTAGAAAGTATTAATCTTACAGGTATTATAAGGAAAATAGCAGATTCCTACCCCGTCTCTCATGTGCATTTGATTACCCAGATGTGGTTACTTAACAAAAGCTATTTGTTTTGGTATCTCAGCCATGCCGTATCTTATCGTTACGTTTCTTTTTTTCATCCAACCTTTTGTTTTTCCTAGAGTTAATTGTGAAAAGACACTTACTGGCTGTTTTTGGTTTTTGTCATTAATTTACCCCCAGACTCTCCAGATGAACCGACTTCGGTACAGTTAGACATACAGATCCACCAAGAGTTTTATTTTCCTTTGTTTTTTTAACTGTTCCTGCTGGTAGTGCCCTTGGATCCCCTGCCGCCCTCTGACCTGCTTCTCTGCAGACCCGTGCACAGCTGTCGTGGGGGGCCTTCTCTCTGCCCTCATCCTGGGAATTCTCCTGTCCGCTCCTCAGTGTAGCCCTGCCTGTTCCTGGATGCCAAGACTCCCTTTTCCTTATGTTCCCTCTCTGGGTAGAATTCATTCTCCTGTTGCCCTTTCTCAGGAGCAGGAGAGGAAAGAGGATATGGGGGAGGTAAACTTTGAGAACCTCCTGTGTCTGAAAATGTCTTCATTATATCTTCAGTCTTGATTGTTCTTTGAGCAAGGTGTAGAATCTAGGTTGGAAACCATGTCGAACAGAGTATAGAAGACATTATTTCATTATATTTCAGCTTTGGGATTGCTGTGGAAGTCCTGTATCATTCTCATTTCTGACTCCTGTGAGCTTTCTCTAAAATACCTTTTAGATAGAATCTCAGAATCTTTTCATTCCTAGTCCATGATATTTTCATTTTTTGTGCTGGTGGGCATTTTAACCAGGAAACTTGAGTTCTGCAAAACATCCTGCATTCTTTCTCTGTAAATCCCTCCTGCTTTCCAGTTTTCTCTATTCTTTCATTCTAGATAGTCCTTTTAGTCAGATGTTGAATCTCCTGGATTGATGTTCAGATTTTTTTTTTAAAGATTTTATTTATTTGAGAGACAGAGTATGTGTGTGGGTGGGTGGGTGTGTGTGTGTGTGAGAGAGAGAGAGAGAGAGAGAGAGAGAGAGAGAGAGAGAGAGAGATCACAAGCAGAGGGGAGGGGTAGAGGGAGAAGAAGACTCCCTGCTGAGCAGGGAGCCCAATGTGGCACTTGATCCCAGGACCCTGGGATCATGAC